CCTCCCACTCACCACCTCCCCCCAGCCCCCCTCCCATCGCCGCCTCCCCCCAGCCCCCCTCTATCGCCGCCTCCACCCATTGATGCGTGCACGGGTGCACCCTTGGTGTCCGACAGCAGCGGCACATGCGATGGCGGCCTTTACCCGCAAATATGCGTACGAGATAGTGTGCCCACCGCCTTCTGTATTGCAACACAACCAACAGGTGTCTCGGGATGCCACCCTCCTTACGCTACCACTACGCACGGTGTTTGCAAGGGAGCCATGTACCCTACCCTAGTCATCTGCAAATCAGGCTTGACAGGTTACTATGCCAAGTGCTACAAGAATGATGATGATTCTTGAGCTGGACTCCGGTTAAGGCTCCGGCGGGGTGGTGGAAGCTGGACGAGCGTGGGACCTCGCGGCCGCCCCCAAGTGTTCCATGTGACAGGAGCAAGACAATACTGCAAGCTTACACCAAAGGGGTGCCCTACACCATCCAACAGCGTGACAAGCGACATAAGCCTAGCACCAAGCAGGAAAGTGAACTTGGGAGGCGTTCCTTCTCCCATGAAGCATCATCGCAAGGCGATTGGGCCTCTGCCAAGGTTGCAGATCCACTTGGGCTACGCAATTGTTGCATCAGTCTGCAGCGGAAGGGTGGAGGACGGAAGTCTTAGGCCCCTTGATCTGCCATCTTGAGACAGGATGAGCTACTCTTTTGGATAATCTTGCCAGCCATACTGCCCTGCCAGAACGATCCATTCCCTCAGCCCCTCTCAGGACTACAAAAACGCACATCGCCTGATCTTCAGTGGCCACTCGGGAAACTTGTCATGCCAGTATGCCACTCCATAGCTGCATTGGAATGAATGGTCGGACAGGCTGAAAGTGGATGACCACATGCTCTTGCAGGGTCCAATGCTGACTGTGCATGCCAAATCACACCGCCCTTCCTCAAGCCACCGTACTGTGCGAGAGTGCGCTGGGCGTCGTCCAAGTTCTTCCCGGCAAAGGACAGCTTCTGGAGGGCGGGGATGATGCCAGCCTTGTCCTGGAGTAGGAGAACCACATGGAATGATCAATGCCTACCAGGGCAGAGACGCTGAAAACAGCACCCCAAAGTGTTCTGCACTTTTCATGCGCAGAGATGAGTGACTGCCACCTTGGCCCTGCTGACCCCACCCAACAGCCTGGGTGTCATCTAGGCACTACCCAAAACCAGCCCATCCCCCAGCCCCCCTACCTTGATGAGTTTCCGCAGGTCCTCGATCCGCATGGCAGGGCTGACTTCCAGCAAGAAAGGGCCACCGCTGTGTCGCCCCTCGCTGTCGACATTCTCGCCATACTCTTCCTCCGTGTGCTGCAGGGGTGGGAGGGGGGTTGTCCATCTAGCATTCCAGGCTTGGGCAAGATCTTCAGGTACACACCCCATTTGCACCCCGCCCTCAAGCAGCTGGAAGCCACCATGCCATGCCCCTCACCAGCTCGCTGATGAGCGGTATGGTGATGGTGGGAAGGCCTGCATACTTGTCTCCCGCCGCAACGAAGCCGTGGGGCACTCCAGACTCGTATGCCGCTTTGCGATCCTTCTCCGCTTGCTCCGCAGTGGGGTTGTACATTGGCTTCCACTCTGTTTCATGGGAGTGCGTGGCGATTGAACCCCCGGACAGCATTTTGACTGTACAAAGTTGAGCTCTGCAGCACCCCTCAGGATTTGCTGCACTAGTGGGGCCTCAGTGAGCATCCAAGGGATGCTCCGATCTCTGCCACCCAGGGATGACGGATCTGTACCTGAGAGCTGTCCACCATCTGCCTGCATGATGGGAACGTACTTCTCGTCCTCGCTGTAGAACGGGTAGTTGTTCGGGGGGACCGCCATGTAGCCGGTCCGGCCGGTACCTGAATTGCAAGTGGGGAACGGTGAGCACCCCGATTGCCGGCCGAAGGGTTGCATCAAGCCATTCTACTTACCTGGGGTGGGGTTGTGCTTGGTCACGGCATCCGTGCTGAGCACCGCGAGGTCGGGGTAATCGGCCCTGAGTGCAGACAAGGCCGACTCATCCCAGACGGCTGGGGGGCTCGTGATCTCAGTCATGGCTCCCTACTCGCTCATTGACAGCTGGCGAAGCGCACGATGCGCACTGGGTAATGTCGCGAGGAGCCAGGGGATTCCAGGCACCCACCTGGGCAATTTGAGTCAACGGCAGTACATCGCTGCTGCAAGTGCAGTACAACCTAGGAATGGTCCCCAAGAATCGGGTATTCGCGCGGCTTTCGAGCACTTGCAATGCTCAAGAGGAGAAGGAGACAGTATACCTGTCATCAGAGTGACCTCAGCTCCTTTCTGCACACTTGTCTGAGCGAAGTGTGAAACCAATAGCACCAGTGGAGGCTTCTGCTGAAGGTAGGACCACGGACACCCGCGTCACATGGCTTGCTAAACCCCCCTCTGACATCATGCTCGTCCAGTTTACCAACATTCTGGTCTCCGCATGGCCCTTGACCGATCCTGTACCAAGTGATGCTATCGAGGCTTGCAATCAATTGCTGGCCGCAGCTTCCTTACAGCACGGGTGAACCTCAAACTCCGTTTCCCCATGACAAAGTACCAACTTACAAATCTACAGACTGCGATTCCCTCATCTCCTCCATCAGAGCCAGGGTTGAACTGATCTACAGCCGATTCACAGAATCGATGTATTTCTTTCCCCCCCCTTCCTAATAAGGGGATAAACCGCGATCTTGACCAGGGCGCGAACGTCTCCGTCGCTCATGCAAACCCAGGAATTGACATCCGACTATACTATTGCAAAATTCGCATCTCAAATACTTGTATCGTGCTGCTAAAGTGAATAGCGGTGGAGAGTACAAGCGCCGGATCTCGTAGCCTCACGACCCCTTGCAGTGCTGCTCAGCCAGCAAAACCCAGATCGTTGTCTGGATGGAATTCTTGGCCGGAGCCCTCTTGATAACTCTTCCACGTGACAAATCCATTCCTTTGGGTGCCGGAGCTGTGCTGGCCAAGGCGGTGGATGGCGCTGTCCGGGCGGTGACCAAGCCTCGGTCCGCGCACGCTGCAGCGAGCATCGAGCAGGCTGGCGCCCAGGCAGTGACGCTGGTCTGGGATCGCCTGACTTGCATCTTGAAGACGAAGAATGGGCAGGTCAGAGCCCTGCTGCGTGACATCCAGGGCACGGCAAGGCCCGGGAGGTGGGCTTGGATTGGGGAATGATGAGGCAAAGGGGCGACTGTACTTGCGGGGATGGATCGGGCAAGAGGCAAGCAGACAATTTGGAAGCTCTGCCATGCATCACGTGATGCTTTTACAAACTCAGTCAGGTGCTGTGAATGTATTCCTGCCAAGCTCATCCATGTACAAATTCATTGGCGCCCAGGTTGCTGGCCATCCTCGGGCCCAGCGGGGCCGGAAAGACCACACTGCTGAACATCCTGGCCGGACAGCTGCCGTTCAACAAAAACATCGAGCTGACTGGCAGGGTGCTGGCAAATGGGAGGCCTCTGGACAGCCTTCTGGGCCACGTCGGCTTTGTCGCTCAGGAGGACATCTTTTACTCCCAGCTTACCGTCAGGTACCTGAGCTGTTTGGTTTGAGTGTTGTGGGGTGATGGGTGCATCACGGCGCCCTTTGCCTCGCTGACTGGGCTTAGGGAGCTCCGCCGGCAGCCAAAGCCGTGGCCTGCCATGTGCATAGAGCCAGTGCTGTGACCGAGATCGCCAGGCTTTGGGGCATGCTGTCTACCACACAGCAACATCGGCGCACTGCCCTCACTCCTCCCAGGGAGACCCTCCTCATGGCCGCCCAGCTTTCTAATGGCACCTCCACGGCCTCGGAGAGGGAGCGAGTCGTGGATGATATAATTGCTCGCCTGGGTCTGGCCAAGGTCAGGGCCACGCGCATCGGCGACAAGAAGACGCGCGGCCTGTCGGGGGGCGAGCGCAAGCGGCTGAGCATTGCAGTGGAGCTCATTGCCCGGCCCAAGCTCATTTTTGCAGATGAGCCGACCACGGGGCTCGATTCCTTCCAGGCCCACAAGGTGATTACTCGGGTGTACTGGGGTTGGAGGACCAGGCGGGCTATGGTGAGGGACTTGGGGACCGCGCAACCTGTGCCTTGGTCTCTCTGCTGTTGGTGGGAGAGTGTGGGTTGCTTAGTCCACAGGTCAACCAGAACAAACCTGCTGATATGCAGAAACCTGCGCGAACGCCGAGCCCTCAACCCCATGCGCCATCTGACAGGTGGTGGAGGCGCTGAAGCAGCTGGCAGAGGAAAACCACACCGTCATCGCCTCCATCCACCAGCCACGCAGCTCCATCTACACCCTCTTCGACGACGTCATCCTCCTGTCTGGTGCACATGAACTCGAGGCTGGGTCGTGAACCGGGGTCTCGCGACACAGGCACACTACCAAGTGTACTGTGTTGAATGCTGACGTTTGTTTGCAGTGATGGGTTGAAATCAAACGTTGTCCTGAAGCAAGCAACCACCTCCCACTCTGACTGAAGACCTCTCCCACCATTCCCTGCCTCCCAACAGAGGGAGAGGTCCTGTACGCGGGGGAGGCAGATCGAGCGCTGTCCTACTTTGATGCGCAGGGGCATCGCTGCCCCAAGCACTACAACCCTGCAGAGTAAGATGGGTTTGAGATTGAGGGAAGGAGAATGTGGCTAGGAACCGCCCATGCACTGGGATGAGATCCTGTCCGGCACCAGTTTCTCTATTTGTATGTGCATGGATGCTGCCTGGTATTTCAAATTTCACCTGTGAAATAGCCCGACCACCAAGGCATTTCCCCTCTTCCCAAAGATTCCTCGCTGACCTGGCGGCCGTGGACCACAGCTCCCCCGACGCGGAGGACAGCAGCCGCTCCCGCGTCCGGCAGCTGGCCCTGGCATGGCGCGCTGAGGCCGGCTCGCGGGCACTCGCCGACGGCCATGGCGAGGGAGATGCGGTGCCCGCTCAGCTCGGCGCGAGGAAGGGCGGCGGCGGCGCGCGGCACCTGGGCCTCCTCTTCCGCCGCTCCCTTCGACAGGTGTGGGAGAGGGAGTGAGGAAGGGTTACAGTGGGAGCATGTGTGTGACTCAGATGGAACCCGCTTGTGATGTAGCGCCAGCGGTGGGGGTGTCGGCACACCCGCGTGAAGTAGTCGATGAGCATGCTATACGTAATGACCATTGTGGTTCCGCCTGTCACAGCTCTCGCCGGGTGCCTTGAAAAGCTTCCATGTAAATTTTCCAACCGTCTTCCAAGTGAATCTCACCCGAACCTCCGCGGTACCTCCGCACAGGTGCTGCGGGACGTACCCACCCTGGTGTCGCGCGCCGGCTCCCAGCTGTCCTCCGCGGCGGTCTTTGCGGGCATCTACTGGCGCATGGGGCTGCACGAGTCCACCATCCAGGACCGCACCGGCCTGCTGCAGGTAGGGACTAGAGTTTCTCTTGAGTTTGGCTTGCATTACTTTGGGCTGCTGTGATGTGGTCCTGCACGACAGGCGGCTGGGAGCGGGGGGGCCCAGGTGCCTGGAGCGATCCCTGGCAACAGCGGCGCGTGTTTGATCCCAGCCTCGAATGCGTGCTGGGTGCCGGGTTGATGCCAATTCTCTGCTGGCCCCTGATGCCCTACCATGCCGCCATGACCCCAGCGGGCGTCCCCCGCGACTTCCCTTCAGGTGGCCACCCCTGCCCACTCACAGTCCCCCATTCCCACCCCAGGTCTGCGCGGTGGGGACGGCCATGAGCTCCCTGATCAAGACGCTCAATGTCTTCCCGCGCGAGCGCGTCATTGTGCAGCGCGAGCGGTCGCGCTACAACATGCCCGCCTGGCCCTACCTCCTGTCCAAGCTGGCGGCGGAGCTGCCCGTCGGCGCCCTCTTCCCCGCCCTCTTTGGCTGCATCGTGTACCCCGCCACGGGGCTCAACCCGAGCATGGCCAGGTGCTGGGTCTATTTGGAAAGGAGGGAAGCACAGCCGTACTGAAGGGCAGTGATAGCGAAAATATGAATATGTCGCCGGGGGGCCCTGGGCAGGGCAGGGGCCACCCGATCGCTTTCTTGGCGGCGCTCGCCCGCAACCACGCCACCATTTCAGGCGTCAATGGAATTGTTCGGCTCCTCCTCCTGCCCTCTCCCACGACCTCCAGTTTCCCCACTTCTGCCCTCAGGTTTTCACGCTTTCTTGCCGTGTTGACGCTGGAGTCCTTCAGCGCCCAGGCCCTGGGCCTGGCCGTGGGAGCTGCCGCGCCTTCCACCGAGGCCGCGCTGGCCATCGGCCCCGCCGCCATGCTCATCTCCATCGTGTTTGGCGGCCTATTTGTGAACGAGGCCAATGTGCCGCGCGTCCTGTCCTGGCTCCCCAAGACCAGCATCATCAAATATGTGAGCATGGGGCTGGCTTGCTGTGGATGGAAAGGGTGGGTGCGTTGAAGGCGTGCGGTTACAGGGCGATCATGTAGATGCCCGAGTTCCCAAGGCTGGAGATCCTCTCAAGAGGCTGTGCTTCGGCACATGGGTCTGGCAAGTGAGAAAGGGCTGGCGTTAGCCCCTCAAAAGAAAATCTCAAGACCTCCACACGCGCTGCCTCCCTCCCCAAACATGTAACATGCAGGCCTTTGCCGGGCTGTGTGTTAACGAGTTCACCGGCCTCAACTTCACGAGTAACGGCGCGGGCCCCGGCCTCACGGGGACCCAGGTGGGCTTACAGTGAGAGGCGTTCGGGAGGAAGATTTGTGTTCCAGAAGCCAGGTCGCTTGCTTCGTCCATGCACTCTTCCCCTCCTCCTCTGTATCGTGACCCCCCAATCCCCCCGCCCGACCCAAACATGCTCCAGGCGCTGAAGCGGCTGTCCTTTGCCGGCACCAGCATCGGGCAGAGCCTGGTGGGTCAGGGCCGCGTGCTCCTCTTCTACTACTGGCTCACCTACTCCATCCTCCAGCGCCAGACCCCAAAATACCAGCCCGTGGAGTCGGCGCGGCCCAGCCTGGAGTCCCTGGCCGCGCCGCTGTGAATCCAGTCTCTTTTCCCATTCCGTTCTTGCATGATGGCATGCGTGGGGCTAGGCAATTACACACGCGGTGCACAGGTTCTCCGAAAGGTTTTGATCTCGAGCGGTTCAGGGCCGGCCCACGGGGGCTGGGCGGGGAATAGGGGCCCCAGCACAGCCAGCTAAGGGCACGGGGCATGGGGTGTGCAGGGAATGCAGGGAAACAGCGGGTGACGGCTCTAGGGCACAAAAATAGGGGACGGGTCGCTAGGGGCCAGGGTACACTGCCAGGGCATGACCCGGGCCAACGTCTATGGACGAATCAGGGATATCTATTGTCTTGGGCAGCGAAAATGAGCTTGACACTGAGGGGTTGGTGGGTCTGGGGGTTTCTCAGAGATGAAGCAAGGCCCTCGTGTAGGAAGGCCCCCATTGTATGGACTGCGTCTGCCCACGCCGGCCAGCCGGCCGCCCGCTTGGGTGCCCCGGCTCTGGCTCACACCGAGCACGCTGCCAACAGCCCCCTCCCTCCACTCGCTCCCCCGCTCGATCCCCTGCTGTTCAGGCGTCCTTGGGCGCGAGGTGCTCCACGACGCGCAGGTAGTAGGGCTGCAGGCGCTGCGCGGCGGGCTCCGCGTAGGGCGCGACGTAGGGGTAGAGCGCGGAGCGAGACCGCGCGTACAGCTGCGTGGCCTGGGCCCGGGCCAGCACGTTCTGCCCCGCGGCCAGTGCGCGCTTGTACTGGGGGGAGGAGACAACGCCGTCGTGCAGGGCCGCATAGCGCGAGTAGGCTGCGTCCACGCCGGGCTTGAGGCCCTCCACTGCGCGGTGCACGGGGGCGAGGCGCAGCAGGCGGTCCACCGACTCCTGCAGCCGGGTGAGGACCAGGCCGGGGACAGCACGCGCGTCGGCCAGCCGCGCCGACACCTCGTCCACCGCGGCGCGCGTGGCGCCGCCCAGGCCCTCGCGCTTCAGGTAGTCCACGCCCTGCTCCACTACCTTGAGGTAGTGCTCGCGTGCGGCCTTGTACGACTCCAGGTTCTGGGCGTGGTAGGCCTTCTGGCGGTCCACGGTGGCGGCCACGAAGGCGGAGTTGTTGGCGTACACCTGGCTGGCCTGGCCGATGGCCTTGTCAACCTGGGGTGGGGGGATGGGTGTGAGTGGCGCTGAGGCAAGCGCTCGGCCAGCTCCGAGTCAGGGACGGCATTAGTGGACAATCACAAGGGTATAAGGACCACGGTGGGGCCTTCCTGAGACCGGCACAAGCTGGCGGGAGCAGGTTCGCAACACCTTCCGCACCCGCTCGTCCGCGGCCTTGAGCAGCTCGGCGCCCTTGTCCTGGGCCTTGGTCACGTACGGGGCGCTGGCCTGCGAGGGTCGGCGATCGGGGAGGTGAGGGGGATCCGGGGGTAGCAGCCTGCATCGGCGCCGGGGCCGGGGCACTTCCCGAAGCCTCCCGCGCCACACTCTGCTCACGTTCGTCACAGTCTCCTCGACCTTCTCGATGCGGGGCTGCAGGCTGGCTGGCACGTAGCTTTTCGCTGTGCTGTAGATGTTGGTGGCGATCTCGTAGCTGCGGGCGCTGGCCTCGGGCACGAAGCCCAGCTTCTTCAGGCTGGTGGGGCGGGGGGGGGCCTCGACGGAGGTCATTGTGATGCAGGATTGGATGACAGAAAGTGATCGGGGTTGAAGGATATGCTTCTTAGATGATTCGCATGTATATAGTGTTACAGCATGGCCCGCGCGATGCAACTTGAAACCGATTACCAACACGTCGACCAGGGTTGTGCAGCAGCACCCACGCGCGAAGGTGCAGTTTCCTTCGACCCGGGATGTTTGAAATGGGAGTCCTGCATGCGTGGGCGGAGCTGCTCGGATTAAAACATGCGCATTGCAGCCGCGAAGTCACCACGCATGGGGAAAAGATGTCAAACGCATGGTCCACTCGTTTCAATCTCTCGACACATGGTAAAAAGATGTCAAACGCATGGTCCACTCAATTCAATCTCTCGACACATGTCCTCGGCGCCCTAATGGCAGGTGGGTGTGTGCTCCCGCTGTTAACAATGTAACCCCCCCTCATGCCCAGGTCAGCCATGGCCGGCTGGCCCTCAACAATGACCCAACACTCACCCTGTCAAGAGAGCGATTCCTGGCAATGCCTATCCTGAATATCAGCCTTACACTATGCCGCATGTCCCTCCCACTCACACGTCAGGGAGGTATGGCAAAAAAGGGTCCAGGTCTCCGTCCCCGACCCTGACGACAGTCGGCCGTGCCCCCGAGAAGTCGATGACGGTCGACGCACCCCAGCGCTGACCCTCCTCGGCCACCACAAACCCCACCCCTGCAGCGCAGTAGCGGTCGGCCAGTTCCGCAAGGTCGGGAGCCTGCTCCTCGCCGCCTGGGTCCTCCCGGCCAGGCACCGTGGTGCAGAGCAGGGGCCCATCCACGCCAGCCATCAGGGCCTTAGGGGAAGGTGCAACGGTCCAGACCTCAGAGCAGGGGCAGGAGGGCGGTTGGCAGGCCGCCTTGACCAGGATCCAAACCCATGACACCCTGGCTGCTCTTCCCATGACACCCCCCCCTGCTCACACTGCCACCCCGGCCTCAGCCGCCCACCTGGCACACGGGGTTGTCGGGCCAGCGAATGCCCACCGTCTTGCGGATGGTGGATTTCCTCTTTCCAGATGCTGCTGCAACCACTTGTTTCGGCATGCCCTTGCTCGCCGTCAGGATCAGGGTGTACTACGCAGGGGTTAGCCATGGTGCTGATTCACACCAGAGATCTCAATCATAAACCCGTCCAACACCACCATGACTCTTGCTGAAGAAAAAGACTGGCAGTGTTTCTCAGCACCTATGCACATTGCACCCTCATGAATTGACAAGGCATAGCTGCCCCCAGTTCATTCCCCTCCCCAGCCCCAAAGAGAAAACACACAAAGCCCGCCCACTCACAGGGCCAGGCAGGGTGCTTCTTAGAATTCTGAAGAGTGCCGGCTGCCCTGGCCCGTTGGCAGCTGGGAGGCCCGTCGTGAGGGACTCCAACTCTGCGATACCCCGCACCATGACACTCAACTTCTTGCTGACCGAGAGGCCGGCGATGTCAAACATGGCCTGCACGGCCACACGGTCATGGAGGCAGCACACAAAGGCGGGGCTGGTGTCCGTGGGAATGATGCCGATCTGCAGGGCCAGGGAAGGACGGGGTGGGTGCCTCATAGCTGTAGGTCCGACAAACAGTCCCACAGCAGGGCACTGTCTGATTTCATAACTAGAATACATTACTGCATCGCTACCTGCCCTCAAGAGATCACATCTTCCCACCTTGGACGCCAGGAGGTCTTCTATGGCTGTCTGCAGGCGCCAGGTATCCGAGCCATCCGGCTGGATGTTGAGCACCGTGCATGAGGGAGCCTGTTCAACCCGCCCCCGACGCGCTCTCAAGACGAAGCCGGAGTCGCACCCCTCTTTCCGTCGATGGACGTGAGGGCAGTGTTGTCTAGCTGTCCAGCCACTCACGTGGGAGAATGATCGCCTGTCGCCGACCTGCCGTCCGACACCACCCGAGAGGCGCGACGTGCCCTCCGAGCAATGCACGGAGGTGTGCATGCAGCGGGTATGCTTTCGATGAAGGATCGTGCAGAACTGTTTCTATTTAAGCCAGGGAGAAATGTTAAACAATTCAGGTGCGATGGTTGTGCTCCGAAATATGCTTCCTGCATGCATGGGCCCCGAATCAGACTCTCTTGGGTCGGATGCATTGTCAATCATCACAGAGAACGGGGAAGAACAGGGCACTCAAGGGACGCTATCACTAAAAGGTGTACTTCAACAAAGCTATGTGTCATTTCATGTGCCGTGGGCTCGAGGAGCGGTTCATTCATGAGGCATGGGCACTTTGTGCACCATGACATTGCAGTTGGCATGCTTAACCACTGCACAGTTGAGAGGGAAGGATATGCTGAAAGGTCGGCTGGAGCATGCCTGGCACACACTGTCCAATGGTAATGGCAAAGAGGTGCAAGCAGCAGGTCTGCCTGGAGTGTGGCCCGAGCCCTCACCAATCCTCAGGACCTCCAGTTCTGTAGGACGCACCACGACCGGATGGCCCTTTTTCCCCACGAGCCGCAGGACACCGCACCCTCACCATAGCTTGACACGCTGCCCAAGCCCAGCAGGCCCAGCATGGCACGTCTCAGGCTGCCCATGCCGCGGGACCCCATGAGCACCACATCGGCATCCTGCCGTCGCGAGTAGTCGACGATGTGGCGCCCGGTGTCAGCAGCGCCGCCCACACACGTCACAAGGGTGGCCAGCTTCACGTCCGCAACCTGCATGGGTGAATGGGTCAGCTTGAGCAAGGATAGGGGATGGGGGTTGAGGAGGCACGGTCCCCATGGCAAGGGCGCTGACAGGGCTGGCAGCCCCTCAGCTGCAGCCCTGCCGCCAGCCAACATAGAGCGTAGGAAAGGAAGCTGCGACATGTGCCAGGATGATGCATCCCCGCCACTCACCCCCTGCTTCTGGGCTTCCTCTCTACACTTCTTCAGGAAGGCTTGTGCCCTCTCCAGTGCCAAGGGATCGGGCTTGCACTGTATGCAACAGTGAAGAAGTTGGATGAGGTAAAGCAATGGAACAGCACACAAGACCCCCATGGGGTGAGCAATGTGTCACTCCCAATGGAAGAAGTTCGACAGTCATGAATGCGACATCTCCTCCCCAGGCCAGATTCGCAATCCATTGGCCCCGAGCTCGCCTCACCTCCTGCATGGACACTGGGTATGCCGTCTCGGCGGTTGAGGCGAAATTTCCGCCACTGGCAGGCTCCAGCACGGAGATGATGTGCAGCTCGTCATCGGGTCGCAGCAGCTTTTCTGCCGCCCACTGGAGGGTGCTCTTGCTGACCGCCGAGTCGTCTACGGCGACGACCAGCTTGCGAACCATTGCGATCTGGGTTTCGAATGTCTATATGGAGGGAATGAGTGTGTCTTAGTTTGGGTCTGGTGCGTTATGAAGCCTTTTTCATACCGTCCATGACACACTGTCGGGTGTCGGGGCGACGTGACGGGGTCCACCTTCATGACACGTCAGGGCCACGGCAGGCAAAGCTGCGCGCAATGGTGCAATGACTGTGACATCGAGATCCATTCATTCACTGAGATCGGCTTGCCAATCTGAGCGGATTTGGCGCCGTCCTGTGGTGTCGGGAACGGCATCCCAAGCGTTTCGATGGCATGCCCCGACAGGAATGCGCACATCGATGCCGTTGCTGACCGCGGCCGGCACGAATATTTCCAGGAGATTAGAGTGATTGTTGTGTACTTCAGCTCCCTTGCTAACCGAGAATGTGGAGGCTCGTTCGTCTCGCAGCGCATGCATGTCTGCATGGCGGTGTGGGATGTGCAGAACACTCCTCGGCCTCGTTGAGCATGGTCGCTGCCTCCTGGCATTGAGAACTGTCGTCATAATCCGGGACTGAGCGTTGTACGAACATGGCCGGGCAGGAGTGCGTGGAGGCTGTGCCACCTGGCACATGCCAAGTCCAGCGCCCCAGCGTCCTGCTACCAGGCACAAGGTTTCTTCCTACAAAGAATTCTTACATGCATGCACCATGTCTGCCCACAGGATACACCATGATGCGTGCCATGAGCGACAGTTTGGCGCCCCCCTGGAACCGAGCGTGTTCGGGGTGCTCGCTGCGTGGCAGCATGGTCCGAGATCGCCAGTCGCTCCTAAAGGGCCTCGTCGCTGGACCGCATGGCGCTCGCCACGGCCTCAGGGGGCGCCGCCTGCTGGCCCGGCCCCAGACTGCCCTTGCCGGCTGCGGCCTTGCGACGCACGGAGGCCACGAGCAGGAAGACGCCGCCCGCCAGGCCGAGCCCCAGGGCAACACGCCCCGCGTCCCCAGAGAATCCCGCCGCCCGCTCCAGCAGGTCGGCGAAGAGCACATCGGGGGACACGCCGCGGCGCAGGAGGGAGCGGGAGGCGCCGCCCAGCGACGCGTAGAAGAAGGCCCAGAAGACGAGAGCGGGGGCGGAGCCCAGCGCGTAGGGCGTGTAGGGCAGGGGGGTCAGGCCCAGCATGTAGTTCGAAGCGCTGGGGGCCGGGGGGAAGGGAGCGGGGGTTGCAGGTGAGACGGTGGAAGAGGGTGGGAAGGAGAGGGCGCGAGGCGGTTGCCAGGGATGCAGGGCAGACCATCGATCCTGGACATGTTCACGCTCAGGAGCTCGAGTGGCACCCTGCTCGTGGCGCCAGGCGGCACCTCACTGGACCTTCCATCGAGCTCGAGCTCCCGCCTGCTCCCTCCCTGTTCAGGAGCGCATCGGACCCCAGCATCGGCCCCCTCGCTTCCTGCATACCCCTCCCCAGCCCCCCATGACCCTGCCTGAAGGGGACGATGGGCGTCATGCGCAGGAGCAGGATGGTCCCGGCCTGCTGCCAGAACCTGCCCCGCTCGATGACCGCGCGCAGCTGCTGCGCGCGCTGCGCCAGCGGGGACGTGGTGTCGGCGCCCATCAGGCGCTCCGCCCAGGGCCGGCCCACGCCGCGCGCGATGAAGAAGGTGGCGGTGCCCGCCAGGAAGTTGGCGGCCAGGATGCACAGCGCTCCGGTGCGCGTGCCGAAGAGCAGGCCGGAGGCCAGGAGCAGGGGCTGGGTGGGGAACAGGGGGATGCACTCCGCGCACGACATGACCGTGACAAAGGCCAGCGGGCCCAGCGGGCCCAGCGACTCCGTCGTGTGCTGCGGAGGGCGGTGTGCAGGGGCTGGCGGGCGTGGGGTGCGTGTCTGATCCAGGAAGACGGGGGGGGACCCAGCAGGACGCGGCGGGCATGTCCTGAGGAAACCTGCTCTTCCCTGGCCCCTGCATGGAGCTGCAAGGGGATTCCCAGGCGCCTCGAGCACACGCAACCGCCCCCAGGGAGCTCACCAGGACGCTCTCCAGCAGGCCAGAGGGGACGAAGCCCGCGCCCGCGGCTAGGGCCTGCCCAGAGGGAATGATCAGGGAGGCCATCCCCGCGACTGCACCTTGCGCCAGCCACCTCCCGGATCGGGCGCAGGGAGTGGGCGCCTGGATCGGGACGCAGTCCGGGGCAAGACCGGCGCCTGCTGGGCGGTGGGGCTCGATGCCCCCCCGCTCAGCCTCTCTTCGCACCCCATGTTTGAGTTTCCTCGTGGTAGAGTATAGTCCGGCAGCAGACGATCGGCATGGCCGGTGCGACAGGGCGTGGGTGCGGCTCGAGGTGCTGCAGGCCTCGGTCTCCACCCTGCACCCCCTGGGGGATGCCGTCGAGGTCACACTGCACAGCTGAGACATTCTACAGGCGATGAATGTCCGAGAGATAGACCGGGAGACACACCAGAAGACGCTGGTGCGTTTGAGAGTGAGGCCTCAACTCTGCGCGCGCGCAGTGACGGAGAACTGATCTGAAGCTCCTGCCGTCCCCCATGCAATCATGTGCCTCACAGGTACAGTTGACAGGATGTCTCATCGCAATGTTACCTTCACTCTCCTCACCGTTCCCTTCGACTCTTGTCAAGAAGCGTGATGTGAAGCATGACCTGGTGCAAACGCTATTGCCTATCTCTTCCCTACATTCTTGCATGAATGACATGAGGAGAGTCATGGGCCTCATTGGCATATTCATTGCTCCTCTTATGTAGGCTACAATCTACCGTGTGAAAGGAAAAGGGTGGCATCCTGAGCAACAGATTTCCTGGACACCATACTCGTACTGCCTGCAGGTCTTACATTCTGCAAGACCATTCGCTCTTGGTCAATATGATCAAGTCTTCTCAAACACACCCGCCCTTGCAGCAGAATCATCGCCCAGGTGCCGGCATGACACCCCTTGCCTGCTTGCCGCTGTTTCAGGTGCTGACCTGGCGCAACACTGCCAACGACGAAACTTCAGTATCGCAATGTTGGAAGTTTTACTGCAAGAGACATTGCAGAATATCAACTTTCACTTTGGTATATTCAATTCTACGGCCAATTACTATGAACATGAAGGTATTCGCTTGACAGGTTATCACCCCAAGTCTGCTGCTCACGTCAGCTCGATGGCGAGCTTCCTGCAAGCGGACCTGCCTTCTGACGATGAGGCAGACGAGGATTTCAACCCAGAGGAGGGAAATTCACAGGCTTCTCGGGACGTCGAGGATGCCAAGGCTGGGCGATTAGGTCTCGGAAAGAAGGGCGAGTCTGCCCACGGGAAGGCTGCCCGCCGAGAGCGAGTGGACGCCCTGTGGCAGCAGCTGAATGCTGGCAACGGCAAGAAGGCTAAATTAGATGGTGCCACTGCAAAAGTCCATCCTGATACGGTGCGCAGTGAGATGCTCCGACCTGCACCAGGCCGGCCAAATGGCTGAGCCCATCACCGGTGTATGGCTGGTTCCAATGCAGCACAGACTGCGTCGACAACGCAACCATGATTCCCTCTTATTTTGCCTTCTCCCGTGGAACTCAGCAGGCCCAGCCATCGCCGCCAGTCTCCGCGGCGCCGACTCCCTGCCCAGTGGCTGCACTGGTCTGCGCCCCACCCACCTCTGCTGCGGCAGGTGCCACCGACGATGCCAAGGAGCGGCGGCGCAGCCTGGCGGCCGCAGCGATCGCGGCGGCCCGCGCCGCCGCCGCGGCCTCGGCCTCCCAGCTTTACGGCGAGGAAAGGGTGATTGAGACGCGTAGGTTTGCGGGAAAGGACGTGACGGTGAGCAGGTCGGTGCCGAGCGGCGGAGCAGCCGCCAGCACCTCGGGCGCCGCAGGCCATGCGGCGCCAGACAAGAAGGGGGGCCTGGATGCTATGCTGGCCTCCCTGGCAGGTCCCAAGAAGGTGAATGTGTTGGACAAGACCCGGTCAGACTGGACGGAGTTCAAAGCCGGGGACGAGGCCATCGATGCGGAGCTGGAGGCGCACAAGCGGTCGGGCAGCCAGGTATGTGGAAGGGAGTGGGAAGGATGGGGGGTAAGTTGCGTGGTAGCAACAGGAACGCAATGTGCAGGCCACATGTTCCTGGACTACTCTTCCTTGGGATTCCCTCTGCTTTTGGACTTTTTGCTGTACGCTACCCATGCGAGCCCCCCTCGTAAGAAATTGGCAACAGTCGGCGTCTGTTCAACCCCCCAACGCACCCCTCACGCCTTCGTGCAGTATTTGGAGAAGCAGGCCTTCCTGCAAGAAGCAGACGTGCGGCAGTACGAGGCGGAGAGGGACCTGCGCATGCGAGGGCGATGATGGGCCCTGCCAACGACGCATGCTTGCTGTGTCTTTGCCACTCTGAGCGCTGCGCTGCGCCCCTCTGTTCCATTCCCATTTTGTCACGGTATCTTAGTTCAACGCTGCTCCCAGAGTCTCACTGGATTGAGAGAGGGAGTCATGGACAGGGGCAGGGGTCCAACCTGGCATAATTGCAGCACGATCATTCGGGAGGGTTGGGTCTACTCGGATAGTGACACCAAAGTCCTCACCCGTCTGAAGCAGGACCGTGCCCTGGTCTGCTTTGGGGTACTCTCAGCGGCATGCGCGGCACGTGCCAGCCTCGCAAAGACACTCGCTGCTGCCCCCGGGCATCGTCCTTGGACCCCTTGCGATGCACGCTGGCTGGCCCTCAATCCCTCACTCCTATTCAGCTCAGGCCTTGACCCCGCCATCCACGAGCAGCTGACGGGAGGGTGCGCTCTGCACTGCCTGCCGCGCCTGCTCCAGCTTCTGCCGTATGCTCTGCACCACCTGGCGGGGCAGGCGGGCTCGCTGCCCCTCCCGCCGGTAGTGCTCCGCCAGCTCCCGGATGGCGGCGGACAGCGCCACGTGGCTGGCGTCCCCCGCCGCGCTCGCCCAGTCGGCGGTGAACTCGCGGATGGCGGCGCGCGCGGGGTCGGCGCTGCGGCGCAACGCCGACTCGCTGGCGCCGCTCTCCTCCGTGTCTAGCGCGGCGCCCAGCGCGCTGACTAGGCGGTCCGCCAGGTCGTAGTACTGGGCCGGCGGTGCCTCTGCAGGGACGTAAGGGTAGAGAGGGGGCCTGGTGTTGCAAGACGGGGGGGTGGGGCAGGCATATGGGTGAGGGGCTCATCGGTGGGGCGCTGCCCAGCCCATTCGGCCAGATGAATATCAGGGTCTCCATAATAACCAGCACATGGACCCACCATTGGGGGACTGTGCGGCTCTCGCCCCATTTGGCATCGCGAGGAGTAAAGGAGTGAGCAGGGGGAGGAGCAGGAGCGGCCGGCGATGGAGGGCCCGCTTCATGGGAGCCTGCTGCCCATGACTGGCAACCAGGTTCCGGAGGGCGCCCGGACGCTCATGCAGCGGGGCCCTTTGCCTCAGCGGGGGCAACGGCCCGGAAGACGAAAGGTGCAATGTAATCATGCCTTAAATAGGGGAAGCGGGGAACTGGGAAGGATGTGAACATGAACATGGTCACGACATCAGCTCGTCCCGGCCACAACCGTGCATGGAGCTTTTCCACACTTTCCTAGACCCAAGATTGTGGTCATCGGTGGGTGAGTGTGAGATGGCCTTCACCCGGCTCAATTCACAAAACAACACAAAGAGCATGCCGAGACACCATGGGCACATGTCATCTCTGTATTACACAAACGAGTTTGATGTCATGGGCATCTATGTCTTGCCGTGTTTCGTGTCGAGGCTGAAAAAGAAGACTGTCAATGAGCGACTACCTTGAGTGTTCTGGCCCTGATTGTTGATGTTGCCATCATGAACTAACAATAGCAAACGTTTGATGCACCTAAATATACAGAGTATACACAGGTCTTACATGATGTCACGAGGACGGCAGCAACGACACGAGCTTGTCGTATGCCGCCTGTGCACTTTTGAATTGAGCCTCGGCAGCGGCTCGGCGGTCTGGAGGGTGTAAGTCTGGGTGCCACCGCCTGGCGACCTCCAGGAAGGACAGCCGCAGAGCCTTGCGTGTGAGGCTATGTGCAGGGGACATACCCAGCACAGCCAGCTCCCGCGCATGTGGGTGGTGGGGTCCTTGGCCACAAAAATTGTCAGCTGCTCCAGGATCTCCCTGCGTCTGCGAGGTCTGACCTCGCTGGGAGCGCCACTGACCACCTGGGGCCTCGCCGCGAAACTCCCGGCGCCACCACCAGTGGGCACTCCCTGTTCCCTGCCCCTCGTCCCTGTCAGGACCCGTTGTGTTGAAAGAATGGCCGGCGCCACGCGCCTCCCCCGTGTCCGCTCGCCAGCTGGCTGCCATGCGCCGGGCCTTCCTTCTGGAGCGGCACTGCCGGAGGAGCAGCTGCAGCCAGGCATCCTCCTCGGACAACCTCGGATCCGAGCCTTGCACGGGGTTGCTCCACACGGTGTTTGCCCCTCGATCCAAGCCCTTGCAGAGCTCTCTCAGACGACGATTGGATGCCCTGCGGGCTCTTCGGAGCTCCTGCTGGCGGGCGGGTAACAGGTGAAGGAGGGTAAGGGGGGGAATCTGCTGAATCCTGGGTACTTCATGGCACGAGAATCCCAAAGGAAGCTCCAAGGACTCGCCCACCTTGACGCCCTCGTCGCTTGCAGAGGAGAATGAGGCACAGTGTGAGGAAGTCAGCCGAACGAGCCCTTGCCCAGCTCGACGGCTGGTGCTGGTCATGAGAACGTGCAGCATTGCAGGAATTGTCAAGCCGAAATCCGCGCGGTAAGATTTGTCAAGGGGGCTGGATAACATACCCAGTATTCCATTAGTGTCCCTGATCACCTCCAGCTGAGCAGGACGCCATTCTGGTGGTCGTTCAGAGGCGCCCCAATAGTGTTGGCATGCCCTTGTCGAGCGACGCTGACCACAAAGGAGGCAACATGATATCATGTGCGAGTAAGAGTGTCTCGGCTGGCCGAGAACTGTGGCGAACACACACAGCTGGTGATCGGGCGCGCTTCGTCCCCACCATTTCGTACTCTGCACCGGATTCGCCGGGCATAACATTGGGGCAGCGAGGCTTCCCCCGCACCCTGCCATACTCTTAACGACCTCGGACCGCGGTGTCCCCGCCTATACCGAATAAGGATGGCACAGATCTCGAGTGCGACTCAAACCCCCTCCCGGCACTGACTCCCGTGGCCCCTCCCCTGGCTGGGCGAGACCCGCGCTCCGCCCCACGCCATGGAGAACTGGTTCTTGATCATCATCATGGTGGTGGTAGGGCTGCTCACCATGGCATCCTCCGTCTACCTCCTCATAGCCTTCCAACACCCGGAGGACCGGAACCAGGCATGGTTCCCCAAGATCGTGGTCTGCCTGGGCATTTGCTTGGCCATATGGACCGTGCTCCTTTTCCCCTTGGATGTAGCGAATGTCCACGCCTGTTCTGCGGACCTGCCGCTGGCGGACTGCAGCACCACGCTGCCGATGGACATCCTGTGGTATGCGATATACGTTGCCATCGTCGTCATGGCATTCGCCGTCATCCCCTTTGCCCTCTTCTACTATGAAGGAGACAGCGAGTGGTGAGATCCGGGGATGCTGGAGGGGCTTAATTTTGAGGGTTACGGGTTGCTGCCTGCTTTGGGGCTCCCAACCTCAAAACATCTAACAAAACTGCATCGTAATTGTGTCTCACCTTGAGAGACTGCATCCCCATCACCAGGTCCATGGGCCGCCGGATCCTGAGTGCCGTCCTGTGGTCGATCGGCACATTCATCTGTATCGTCCTTATCATCGTCATTCCCTATGGTGAGGTGGTCGCCAAAGTGGCTATATTCTGATGGAGAGGGGGGGGAAGGGGGGTTGTTCTTCTACAGAGTGAGTGTGTGCATCTGTCATGGGAACCCAAGAGGTGGGCAGGTCCAGGGGTGCATTTGGGTTGCGCCTGGGACGAAGCATTCTGTCGACAGGACGGCAATGACCTGTGGCCAGCAGCCATGGTCTATCCCTCATTCCACATGTAACCCCACACACAGTCACGATCGGGTATGTCAAGTATCCTGTACAATCTGCGTGGTCTGGCATGCTGCCTGTCAGCTACACGTCGAGCGCAACCATGAACACCTGCATCGGCCTCTTTGCTGACTACAATGTGAACGCTCCCTCGGGTCCGCCTGCTGTCAACAACACCATCGCCTTTGTCGGCATCAATGTGAGTGCACGACATGCATGGACCCTGGGTGGTCCGCAAGGTTTGGGGCAGTTGACAGTGGCCATGGAGTGAGGGCATGGCCCCAAAGCAGCTGTGCACATCAGCATCACTGTTCTTGCCCAACTTCAGCTCTTACCTCGACCATCACATGCACCCTGACTCATATGACACATATCCAGTGGTGTTGCATATGCACTATTCAGCAGCCCGTGTTTCTGCAATGAAGGCACAGAATGCTTGCTCAAGTCAGGTGTCTTGCTTCTGTGCATGTGTGCCCGTGGCATGCTTTTGCAAAGGCGTTATGAGCTTGCGCCCTCACACACTTGTGGACTCTGTCGCCCTCCCGGTCACGTTTGGCCCTGCCGGCTCGACCCCTCCTATCCCTTGCAGATCTCTCCCCCCACCCACACACTCGAGGGGGTTCCCTCCTCGCCCTCCAGACTCTCAACCACCCCTTCTCCTACCAATCCACCCACCCTAGTGCAACACGCTGTCCAACGGCCTGTCCGAGGTGTGGACGCTCCGAACCTCGTTCATCATGTACGTGATGGCCATGGTCTCCACCATCGGCTGGTTCCTCTTCATGGTCTTTGGCGCGGTGGGCCTGGTCAGCCTGCCTCTGGACTTTATTCGCGAGTTCCTGGGCCGGCCCAGGAAGGTCATCACGCGCTCCCAGTACATCGAGCGCGCCGCCGACCTGGGCCGGCGCGCCCAGGAGATCAAGTAGGTCTGGAATGTGCTGTGCAGACACTCCTAGGGGTGGCGGGGGAATGGCGGCACCCCAGTAGTTGATGAGTGGCTCCTGGGCGTTTGAACCAGGCATTTTGTTGAGGTAGATGTGTCCACGCATGGCCATGTGGGAGCATGGTCTCGGAGGCCCATGATGTTTGGTGGACGGTGTCGCCCCACTGCCCAGCCCCCCTGGAATGCTCTTGCCCCAGATGCGAGACATCAGCGCCCTCTTGACAACCCCTCCGCCTCCCCGCCATCCTTCCGCAGGCTGATCGCGGAGGTGCTGCAGAAGGAAGAGCGGGAACGGGGCCGCAGCTGGAAATGGCGGCGCAACACGCGTGCCCTGGGCAATCAGATGATCGTGCTGGAGGAGGACGCGGTGCAGCTGGAGCTGGTCTACCCCCAGGTGCCGGGGGGGGGGGGGGGGGGGGGGGGGGGGGGGGATGTGTTGATGCTGGGATGCCCAGAGCCGCGACTCTGGACAGGGATCGTGTGCAGCGACCCCTAAAGCACAAGGCACGCTGCTGCTGTTGCCTGGGAGGCCAGCAACTTCTTGCACAGGAGGCGGCGCATCAGGCACACGCTGCCCCGTCTCCCTTCCAAGAGCCCTGATCTCCCCCAGCAATCAACATCCTGTGCCATCCCGCACCTCACAGGGGGAGGACCCGGAGTACAAGTGGGTGTGGATGATCATGAAGTACTGGCTGAAGCTGGTGGTTGGCATCCTGAGCATCGGCGTCACTATCTCCTGGATTCTGCAGATCATCCTGTACATCCTCATCTCCCCACCCGTCTCCCCGCTCCTGAACACCGCCTTCACCAAGTGCGCCGTAGGGGTGTGGTGTGGGAAAGCAGGAATACAGTTTCGGGGGGTGGTGACGAGGCCTGCCGTGGAACTCCGCGGCGCGGCCTGACTCAGTCCTGCCAGCGTGGGGCAGCTGCTTGCAATCCCAACCCCCCTCAAACCGCCCCTTTCCCCCCGACATACACACCGCATCATCCGCCCCTCCCAAACCGCGGTCCAGGGCGGATGCAGTGTTCCCCCTCTTTGGCACGCTGCTCTTTGCCCTGTGGGCCTTCTACCTGCAGGCGGCGGTCATCAAGGGCAACTTCAAGTTCGGGCTGAATCTCTTGCTCTTCAGGGTGAGGAGCGCGGGGGAATGGGGGTTCGGGGGGTTGAGTTGGGCGTGGGTTGATTGGGAACCAGAGGAGGGGCGCATCGACGGCGAGCCTCTCATCGTCCTCTCGGGAGCAGCACCAGGCATGGGAATGCTCCCCCTGGCGCGCCATGCACGTTGCTGCATGTTCCTCGATGCTCTGGTGCACCATGCCCAGTCTCCCCTCCAATGGCCCCAAGTGCTCGGGGTGATGCTGGGATGCCCAGAGCCGCGACTCTGGACAGGGATCGTGTGCAGCGACCCCTAAAGCACAAGGCACGCTGCTGCTGTTGCCTGGGAGGCCAGCAACTTCTTGCACAGGAGGCGGCGCATCAGGCACACGCTGCCCCGTCTCCCTTCCAAGAGCCCTGATCTCCCCCAGCAATCAACATCCTGTGCCATCCCGCACCTCACAGGGGGAGGACCCGGAGTACAAGTGGGTGTGGATGATCATGAAGTACTGGCTGAAGCTGGTGGTTGGCATCCTGAGCATCGGCGTCACTATCTCCTGGATTCTGCAGATCATCCTGTACATCCTCATCTCCCCACCCGTCTCCCCGCTCCTGAACACCGCCTTCACCAAGTGCGCCGTAGGGGTGTGGTGTGGGAAAGCAGGAATACAGTTTCGGGGGGTGGTGACGAGGCCTGCCGTGGAACTCCGCGGCGCGGCCTGACTCAGTCCTGCCAGCGTGGGGCAGCTGCTTGCAATCCCAACCCCCCTCAAACCGCCCCTTTCCCCCCGACATACACACCGCATCATCCGCCCCTCCCAAACCGCGGTCCAGGGCGGATGCAGTGTTCCCCCTCTTTGGCACGCTGCTCTTTGCCCTGTGGGCCTTCTACCTGCAGGCGGCGGTCATCAAGGGCAACTTCAAGTTCGGGCTGAATCTCTTGCTCTTCAGGGTGAGGAGCGCGGGGGAATGGGGGTTCGGGGGGTTGAGTTGGGCGTGGGTTGATTGGGAACCAGAGGAGGGGCGCATCGACGGCGAGCCTCTCATCGTCCTCTCGGGAGCAGCACCAGGCATGGGAATGCTCCCCCTGGCGCGCCATGCACGTTGCTGCATGTTCCTCGATGCTCTGGTGCACCATGCCCAGTCTCCCCTCCAATGGCCCCAAGTGCTCGGGGATCTTGGCATCGGCCATGCCCTCCTCACCCCCCCCCCCCTCCCCACACACACAAACATCTGCGCAGGTGCACCCCATGCGGCGCGGCGCGACTTTCATGTCCTCGTTCCTCTTCAACATCGCGCTCCTGCTGCTGGCCTCCACCGCCGCCGTCCAGTTCTGCTCCGAGGCCTTTGCGCTGTACGCGGAGAACTCGGACATCCTCAACATCTTTGGCGCGCAGCTGACCAGCCTGCAGGGCCTGTCCTGGCTGTACAACAACTCCATCTTCATCTATATCCTGCTGGGCATGACCCTGCTCACCCTCATCTACCGTATGCGTGCGTGGACCGGACCGCTGGAAGCGCGAGAAGCCGGAGGGCGTGTACGAGATGTGAACCACAGGGCGCCGGAGGGTGGAGCTGCGGCGTGCAGGCGTGGATTCAGGGCGGGCGAGCGCATGGAGCGCCGAGGGCGGGCGAGAGAGCTGGTGTGCAGGACACAGCGGCCATGGTCGAGCAGGCGCGGCGCGCCTTAGGGCGGCTGCAGTGATTCGTGTGGGAGGCGACACCAAAGAGCCCAAGCCTGTGCACCACCACATGCATCGTCCCCCTCGCGTCAACCCCTCTGACAAACTCTGCTTGCCGATGCATGTATGTGCGCAGCGGGTCAAGAACTCAGGCTGTCACCTTTGAGCGCCCGAGGGGCGGGCGGCCCGATCAGGACGCCAGCCGCCGCTCCGGCCAGCGGCGTGGCAGGCAATCCGTCGGGAGCCACTCCTTGGCCGGCGCCGCCGCCGCGCTCCAGCTTCTGCGACTGGACGCTCAGGCCGTTCACCACGCAGAAACAGGAGGTGCGGGGGTGCAGCATCACCGTGCGGCGGGGGCCGTTCTGCACCGCATTCCAGGCGTAGTCGTAGCGGCAGAGCAGCTGCGACTCCTTGAGGATGGCTGCCGCATCGGTCCGCTGCATGGAGGGGGGGAGGTGGAGGACAGGAGGGTAGGGGGGGGTTCTGGGTGGAGATGTCCTTCTGAACAGCGCAGCAGGAGCCGCCACTCTCAAGCTGTCACTGCCCCACAGCAGATGGGCAAAGCAGCACCGCCTGGCATCCTCCCACCACCCCTCCAACTTGCCAGATACTTGAATCGGGTCAGGATGGTGTAGCCCTGCTGCAGGGCAAAGTGCATGAGGGGCGCCAGGTGCGAGGCACCGGCAGCGTGGGTGGCCTGGCGCCGGCGCATGTTGCCCGTCTTGCCGACGTACACCTTCACCCTGGTCGTCGGTGGGCGGCAGGGAGGGAGTGATTGCAGGCATGAGCGCTCGTACCGCGGGGGCGTATTCCGAGGAGGGGCCTCATCCTTAGAAGAGGGGGGTTTCCTGCACACGAGCACCCTCAAATCATCGGCTAAGGGCCCAATTCCTCCTCACCTCTTCTCGGCAAAGCGGGGGTGGCACAGGGCAAACTCGTAGATGCCGGGCTGTGCCTGGCAGTTGGGACCCACACTCCGCCCCTCCGTCCCACTGCCGTCCGATGCAGGGGCCGGCGTCAGGAAGGTGTACCATTTACAGCCGCGCCAGAGCCTCCTGTACCACGACAGGAAGCTGGTGTGGGCCAGCTCCCGCTCTGGTCGGCCTGCCAGCGCCATGGCGGTTCAGGGGCGGTTGCGGGTCGGCACCGTCGTCAATCGCATGCGCGCTTAGGAGGAGGGGGCGTAGGGATGGGTACGATCCGAACGATTGCATATGATATAAACTTGGTCTTCTATTGAGTGTGATTCTCGCATGGTGTCCCGAGGTATCACCCCCGCGCGTGGAGACCGTCACCGAGTGAATCCGGGGGTACCGTGAGATCTGCTCACCCCCCGCTGGAGACTGCGCCCTGTCACCGAGGGACAGGGGCATACGATGTACAAAATGAGAGTGGGTCACGCTGTTTGTGCATTGCTGCAAGTAGGGAAGGAAGACAGAGGGACATGGCACCACACGTGGTCCACGCCCGCCGGCAACAGCTGCGTGACGCCAGCCAGCAGGCGCAGAGGAGCACCCCTCTGGGCCTCATCGCTGGCAACGACAGTCGCCACCGGTCATCCATCAATCCGTCTCGGGCCTCGAGAACTCGGCCGCGTACTGGTCGACAGCCTCCTCCACGTCCGGCAGCTCGGCCAGCATGCCGGCCAGCCCCCCCTTCTTCTTCTTCGCCGCCTCGCCACCGTCCCGAGCCTCGCTCGCCTTGGCGGCGTCGCCCAGCAGGTCCAGCACCCGCCCCGCATCCATGCCCTCCAGCGAGGCGTTGTCGGCGTTGACCACCGCCCCCGCCACGTCCAGCTTGAAGCGTTGGAGGGACATGATTTCCTCCTCCAGCGTCCCCGCCAGGATCAGGCGGTACACGTTGACCGAGCGGCGCTGCCCCAGGCGGTGCGCGCGGTCCATCGCCTGGTGCATGCGTGGGGGTGGGGGAGACGGGATGAGTCTTTCTCGTGTCTGTGTGAGACAGATGCCTGGGAGGGGGCGACGCAAGGAGGTCGGGTGTCACAGAGGTGCCCCCATCAGCACCACCTCCCTGCACCCCCTCGACCCACCTCCCGTTCAACACCCCCCCCGTCTCAACCCGCCTGCATGTCCTTCATGGGGTTCCAGTCGTGCTCCAGGAACACCACGGTGTCTGCGGCGGTCAGGTTCAGGCCCAGCCCCCCCACCCCCGTGGTCAGCAGCATGACGCCCAGGGTGGGGTCGGCGTTGAAGCGCTGCGCGCGCGCAAAGCGCTCGGCGGGGTCCACGCCGCCGTCGATGCGCGCGCAGGCGATGCCCGCGGGCGCCAGCACGCACGCCTCCACCAGGTCCAGCGAGGCGCGGAGCTGCGCGAAGATCAGCACCCGGTGCCCCGCGTCCTCCGGCGTCGCCGACGCCGCGCCGTCGCCGTCCTCGGCGCTGGGCGCGCCCAGGCCCGCGCCGCGCAGCAGCTCCGCCAGCGCCGCCAGCTTGGGCGCCTGGGACAGGTCGGCGCGCAGCGCGCGCAGCGCGGCGTCCCAGTCCAGCGCTCCGGGGTCGGCCCCGCCGCACGCGCGGGCCAGCGCCGCGCGCTGCGCCGCGTCGCCGCGGTCCAGCGCCAGCGCCGGGTGCGTGCAGACCTTGCGCAGCGCGAGCAGGGAGGAAAGGGAGGAGGAGGAGCGCGACGGCGCCGCGGCGGTGCCGTCGGCGCCGTCTCCTGGGTCCGGCGAGGACCGCGCCGGGTCCGCGCCGTCGTCGGCGTTTTGCGCTGCAGCCTGCAGGATGGGTGTCAACGGGTTTGGGGGAGGTTGCGGGGTGATGCAGGGGCCGGTGCGTGCAAGGGGAAGGGCACCGGGGGGTGGGGTGGGGGTGGGGGTGGGAGGG